GATTTTAAATTCCAAACATCTCCAGAAGCAGAAAGAATGATAATTCTTGTTTTATAATACATGTTCATAAATGAAATAAGATTATTGACAAATGAGTTTTAAGCCCATAAGATTTAACAGAGTCATTCATTCTGCTAGATTCAAATTCATGTAAACACTTAGCTGTTGCTGGAACTCAGCTTTCATTCTCCCTCTTGACTATAAACAAATAAATCAATCCAAATCTTGTACTGGATTTCATTGATGCCTTCTGACCTGAGTTTGGTTTAGTAAATGAAGGGGTATGGAAAAAAAAAAAAAACCCTTTCTGTACCAAAATCATAAGAAAAGGTAAACAGCTGAAAGGAACCTCCAAGTGCAGACAAACTGAGATCTCCAGTTGTGAAATCTCTGAATAACCAGTCCAGCTTTTTATGATTATTGTGAAGTTCTTTATGTAACGATAGAGAAGCATTATGTGCAGCAACCAATTGTTATGGCTCTTTGCTTTCTGGAATTTTCTGTTTGGGAGAGGTTGACCCAGTTAGAAGCAAAACAAGGCAAACTACTGCATTTGATTTATAACCCCTCACATTGCAGGTGTGGGAGAGCTGGGAGCAGTCACATGTAGCTTCATTATCCAGCACTATAAAGCAGCTAGACTTTGTGAACTCAAAGAAAAAGCCTAGTTTTCAAAACAGTCTGCTCTATTTTTTTTTTAAGAATTGTAAGAAGTTGAGAAGACCTGTAGGCAACTTCATAAGGACTGCATGAGTAGCTCTGATGTGTGCCCCTGGAGAGCTCAAGAAAACAGGACAGGAAGCCAGCCAAGAGGCATATTTAAGAGAAGGCTCTCAAACTTCCCTATTACCTTTGGGATTGTTTCCAAATTCTAAAGCTAAGAAAGAAAAACCTGGACTTGGCAAAATAAATAATCTGCACTGTACAAATACATGGTGTCCCAGGATGATTTGTGACATTTAGTAATACCGTATGTCACGAACAACACTGAGGGAATAATTCACAGAAATACAGCTGCTTGAAAATTGCTTCCAAGACCACTTCTAAATGAACAATTAAATCAATTTTTTTTCCCATTTTATAAGCATTGTAACACAAAAATCAGTGTTTCCTGTTCACAAAGAAGCTATTGTACAAGGGAAATCTTAAAAATATTCTTATTTGGAAATTACTTGAAAGTGATCATTTTGATATTTTTCATAATCTGTTATTTTAAAATTAGGATGGTTGTGACTAGGAGAAATTATTCCCATTATATAATTCCTTATCATTAATTAGACTTAGACTGGTCTTACTGTCACAAATATGCAAAAAAAGCAAGTAGTATTTTACTTCCTCCAAATGGCCACGTACAGATGGTTCTTATAATTTCTCACAGATAACCTGATTATACTCAGTTTAAGCCTGATCTACAAGAAAAGGAAAGACATTTACATTATTCAAGAGAGTTCAGATGTATTTACATCTTTCTGCCTGGCACTGGTCATGTGTGTGGAGCTCTATCCATAAACAGTAATAGGGAAAAGTGGCTTTTATTACCTATCCTCCACTGTTTGTATTTTGTTGTTTTTTTGTTTTTTTTCTTTTGAGAGAGACAGTGGAAAAAAGACTTTTCTTTGTATTGGAAATTTCCTTCTACAAATGCTTAAATTATTTTTTTTTTTAGCTATCTCAATATGTTTATAATGTCTAGCAAAGGTAAACCTAGCTTTTATTTGCCATAAATAATGGCTCTATCATGTATGCTTTTGTTGATAACACTTCAGGAGAAACTGTTTTCTGTGATACCTGAGCCAGGTACAGCATTTAAATATGTCATACCATGAAAGGTGATGTAATTAAAAGCATTTTTTAAGTCTATGCTTAAAGGAATAATGGACTTCTACAAAGTTATTTTTGTCAGTAGAATAAAAGAGGAAACAGAAATTTGGTTCCAATTAAGATTTTATATCTTTATAATAAGCTTGAGCTACACTTCAGCCAAGTTTGATGGACTGTTACTATGTGGGAAGGACTATATCCATGGCACTGGATATTGAGTACCTACCTCAAGATAGGCACTACCTGCTGTTTTTTGCCTCTTTCCATGCCACCATTTACTTCCTAGCACAGATTATGTGCTTGCTGCTACTATGCACTATTTACACCACCATGTATGCAATATGATTAATATGCCAGCAGTGCAATTGCAAAAAACCTTGCATTCACACTTTTAAATTCATTGTGGATAATAACTATGTACACTCCAGCATTATCTCAGATCTAAATTTTCATGAATTTTCATCATACCACTCATCAATTATATCCCTATTGCAGACCAGATAGTGTCTTTTGCATGTGTATACTTCCTGGAAACTGCAGTAGAAAATATGCAGGAGAAAAAAGTGGCCCGGAGCCCAAGCTGGGAATCTTGTGAGTCTGTGTTTGTGTAAAAGAGATGCCCAGACTCTCCTGTTTAAGACGGGAGGTCTTGAACACTACCTAAATAAAATACAGTGCAGAAAGTAAAAGGTACAGTGCATAAAGTCAGAATAAGATTTATTTGAGAATTATAATCTGATTATCACATTTTCCCATTCTATTGCAGATTACATCTTTATTAATGTAGATATTTAAGAGAAAAACACATAAACCCATGTTCATCCATATTCTTACCAGATCTTAGTACTGCACATATTTGCAATGACAGATACCTGGATTCTGCTCTCCCTGGAGCACTTTCTTTCTAGTGTGCCCCAGTGCCAGCACTGGTACTTCCCTGCTGGTACATGGGTGCTTTCCATGGCACACATCCAAATTTAGTAAAGGTATCCTCCTGTGCTGTATCAGCCCTGCCACCCTTTGTCTGCTGATGAAGGACTTTCCAAGGACAGTATGAATGCCGAGCAGTCAGCCTTTCAAGAAACTACATGCACTTCCATTGCTGCCAGGTAACAAATTAATGCTTAATATGGTGTTAGAATAGTGATAGATCGTGGTCCACATGCTGTCCTGGTTCAATAGAATAATGAACCACCCCACAGCTGCATATGTGTATGTGGCAGAATAATATTTTGCACACAAAAAAAGAATTTTCCCAACCTTTCTTTAAGCATCCTCCCTATTCTGACAGCAAAGTTTGCCAGTGTATTTAAAGAAATGAAAATCTCCTCACCAGGCTGAAGGCTACAAAATCTCTGGCAGAGAAATCCTGCTATGTGCAGGTATGTGCAGAGAAGCAGAACCTCTGCAGGAGGGGGACTCTGAGAAGGTGAACTTTGTGCCATTCACATTGTGAAAATTGTTCAGAGCCCACTTCTGACAAAAAGCCTGTTTAATTACAAAATTTTTGTTTTGTAATTAAAAGCTTTGCAAAGGCCTTACACTTCCATTTTGAAGTAAAATATTGCCCAAAGAGTTTGTGGACTCCCCATCCCTGGAGATGTTCAACCCTAGACTGGATGGGGCTCTGAGTAACCCGGTCTAGTGGAAGGTTCCCTGCCCATAGCAGGAGGGTTCCTAGATGATCTTTAAGGCAACTTGCAACCCAAACCATTCTGTGATTCTATGAAATACCAGTTCCTTTTGTGCTTACTTGGCAAGACCTGAACTCTTGCTAACACAGGGAGTCCAGGAAAGTGGAATGTTTCTTCTTAGCATATTGCATGGCAGGCACTATGTCAAAAGACTATTCTGGCTGTATCACTGGGGTTAGTGAGGAAAGACTTATGCCTCCCATTTTGTACCTGCTCAGGGGACACCAGCCACCCCAATTATTATGATAGTGTTCCCGGGAAAAACAGGAAGAAGTATTCTCTGTTAAAGATTAATTTGGCTTATTGTGGCTCTTTAACATTGAAAAAGAGGCACATTCTTTAACATAAGAAAAGAAGCACAGAAGAGCCTTTGCTCTTTGCTCTTGTGCTAATAAATAGTAATAATAATTTCTGGGAGAGCCACGCCCAAGTCTTTTCCAAAGGTGTCCCCACATCTTCTTCGTAACTTTTACCCTCTGGAATTTTCCAACCTCTCCCACTTCGTGGCCCCTCCTCCCAGCACTGGCTGCTGCCTGCCTCTCAGGCAGCCCCGGGCTGAGGTATGGGTGTCTTTGCAGGGCACTGCTCCCACTTCACTGCTCCCTGCCCCTGCCTAAGGCAGGAACTTACCTGAGGACAGAGATGCCTGACTTGTGAGGCACATGCACGCTTGGGTGCCAGGAGGGTGGGGAAGCCATTCTCAGCACCTGAAGCGTTGTAGCACCATGTGTCTGCCCTTCACCCTCACCCCGGTCTGCTTACAGAGAGAACCTCTTCTCCAGAGCCACTGAAGTGGCTCTTGGCCCATTCCAAAAGGAACTTCATGCTGACCCTGAAGATGGTGGTGGTTACACCACTTCCTCTCTGGGTTACTTTTGAGAAGTTTCCCTTTGTTGCATGGGGGAGGGCTGGTGTATAGATGTAGAGTCAGGACAGCGCAAGTCTATGCATTTGCAAAGTTTTTTGTTCCTTCTTAAACCATCTAAAGATGGCCAGAAGGAGGTTAAAAGCTTACAACTGAGTTTTTATAAGAACAGGAGAAATCCACATAAAAATGCTCATAGAAGTGTTTTATCAGACCTTAATACAGCCAGATGCTAAAAAATCCTAATACTTATGAAATGAATGAGCATTTTCCCCCTCAGTATCTTGATTTATACCTGAAAGTCTATGTTAGAAGGTATTCTGCAAACAGTATCTTATAATTGTTTCAGTTTTAGTGTAGAGTTTAAGCTACAGTAGAATAAACACCTGAGCAATGTAAACATACATGACCCGAGCCTAAGAAAAGGAAAAAAAGTGTCGTTCTTCTTTCTTATGATGTTTTTCCTCTAGGGTATATTTTTTTCCCCTAGTACCTAATCAAAGAGGCTTCTTTACTTTGGTGCTAAGTTATGGCTCCCTCATCAGAGGATTGCTAGGCAGAAGACAAGAAGGGTGTTTCCTTTCCCTCATTATTGTTTTGCTTTTTTTTTTCAGGTAAACCATAACTTGGCTGGCTACGTGATTTGAGTGTCGAAAGGAGGCCTTTGCAAGGCCCATAGTGGCCATGGGTTAGTGGGATGGTGAGTAGGCATGTTGTGATGGCCTCACTTCTGCAACCTAAAGAGCTCTGTGAAAGCTGGGGGAAACCATGCCACAGCCCTGCCATTAGCCTGTCAGAGGAGTGTGGCAGCTCACATCACCCCACCTTACAGCTAACCTAGAAATATTCTGTCCAGTCTTGCCTTATGCAAACCCACAATACACCCAGCACTGCAACTTGCTGCAGCACTCAGAGGAAATATTAATTCAGCTCTCAGAAGTGAGGAATACTTGTGCTCTCAAGCCAGTGATATTCAGGCATGTCTCCAGAAATATATTATTCTTCATAAGAAGGATATTCTCTAATACCAGGCTTTGAGATTTGCAAAGTGATAGTAGTATAGCCCAAATGAACAATTAAAATTTGGCAAACTACTGTTCATTTGCCATTTAGAATCATAGGAACAATGTTGGAGTTTTATTTGATTAACATTCACTATCTGTAGTGATCAAAGGACTATGTCTAAAAAATTAGCATTTTAGAAGGTCTTTGATAGTTAGCAATAAAATTCTCATACTTAGTCTGAAATCATTCCCATCTGCATTCTTTATTTGCATATAATTTATGAAGTATCATTAACAAAATCAAACAGATAGTAAGCACACCAAGCATCCATCCAACACAAAATAGAGACTCCAGATAATTAGGGTAACTTCTATTATTTTACTTCTCTGCCCCTCCTGTAATTAGTATTGTTTGTAGTTGAAAAGGGAAAGAATCAAAGACTTTTCAGAAGATACTGTTATAGTCTCACCTTATTTCACAACATACTGTTTTAATCACACCTTATGCTTTGTAGGTGGCTTCTGAGCAAACTAGGTTTGACTCTCCTTAGTGGCAGTCTACAATTGATGGCTCATTATGTAGTTCATGTCCAGGAAATGAAAATTTTTACTTCAGACAGAGTATTGCCTGCTAAAGGACTTATTCCTACATTATCAACAGAAATCAAAGAACATTACTTTTACAGCAGCTACTTTTCTACTTAAGGAAGTATGATTATTTATTGACCATCAGTATCCTGCAGAAGTCAGGGAGCATACAGGGTAAGGAATGATTAGTGTAACAAGAGTTAACTTGGACTAATTTCCAACATCAAGACTATGCAGTATAGAATATCTTTTTATGAATATGACCTTTATAGCATATTGCATTAGCCTACTAATACCACAAGGAATGTTTTATTGGGTTTTAAAGAAGACTGTTAAGGACATATCCATCATTTATTACTTCTGATGGAAAATTGTATTTCAACAAATCAAACTTTTAATAGAAAAAAATGTAGGTATTTCACACTTACATAAAAAAAAGTGTACGAAAAAAGTGCAAAGTTCATAGTTTTCCTATATGGACTGAGTGTTTTCCATTAGGAGTTACAGACCAGTTTTCATCTGGGAATGATAACATTTGCTCTTGTTCCCACCTCTCCTCTGATCCTGGCTGCCTGTGCATAAACACACCTCCATGCACCTGTAGGGATTGAAGCAGCCACCTCCCTGAGCAGCCAGCTTGGCCAATGTCTGCTGCAGCAGAAAGCTGCATCCATGGAAAATCCACAGGAACTGAGCACCTAGCCCATGAGATGTCATGCCAGGAGGAGGTGACTTTTGATTTCTTTTGATTTATTTGTCAAAATAATTTGACAAATCTTTTGATTTATTTGTCCTTCCAGCTGCAGCTCTTCTGGGACCACGAGAAGAGTGTATGCTGCCTGGTGTGCATGTGGCTCACCAAAACCTTGGGCTGCTCCTTCACCAGGGCCCATGAGACCACAGCTACAGTCCAGGGGAAGTGGTAGCCCCTTCAACAGTGCTTGAAGATGCTCACTGAAGAGAGGAGTCTTCATGTTCCCAGGATCAAGGTAGTGCCCATCCTCATACATTTTTCTCAGACATTTCAAAACAGGAAAGGCCAACATTTCATCATAGTTAATAATGTATTGTGCTTCTTAGTGCTCAACGAAGAGAATAAAAAATACCTTACAAAGAAGAGAACTAAAAATAGTGATAACAGAGCATGCACTTACAATGAACAGCATTTACCTGGGATGTGATAAGAGGTGATCACCTTCATGTGTCTAATAGGCACTACTTTCTATCTAATCAGTAATTAGCTGGCCAATATAATTAGAGTGTTTGGTGTTAGAAACTAATGGCACTGTGTCCTCTTACTGAACTTTGGAGCAGGGAGATGAAAAGCAGGACTGTGAATACCTCATTGTTCTGAAGGATGTAGACTGCACAGGTGTATCAGAAATGTATTCTTTCATTCACTGCACAACTGAAAGACTGTGCAACAGTACCCGTTGCAGGTTCCAGTGTTCCACAGCAATAGTCACAAGGAAAGAAATCTGCCCACAGCCTCAGTCATCTATGAGACACAGATTTTAAATTTTAAAATTGACATTGTAATCATGATTCAAAAATACTGTGGCAGCCTAAGCAAAACAGGTTTTCAGAAGTCAATTTTTCAAAGCAACATACAGAAAGCATGAAAACTGGCAATCACTCAATGATTTGCGGGAACTTGATAGCATCAGAGTAGACTATCTAACAACTTGTCCATTCTTGTATTGGCAGAAATGGCTGTATTTCTTTTCTGAACTCAATAAATAACAATGTCAAAAACAATACTTAAACTTGAAGCAATATTTAAATAAATCTCATGTTTGACAAATTGCACATGCACAGAAATGAAATAAAATAGTTCCACAATCACCTGATGAAACAGTGGATTACAGGACAGTAGCTGAAACTGAAATTGCAACAGTAGTGGTTTTAGATTTAGATTAACTGCAAAGGACTTCTGCAAGCATTCTGCAGGTTCTGTACAACACAATGAGACTCTGAAGTTTCAAGAAAAGTTAATGACAACTTGTCAGCATGTAAGCTACCTACAGTAGAATACAGAATATGGAAAGACAGCAAAATGTGACTAGGAAAACACATCCAAATCTGTCTCTGTGGGATTATACCTGTCTCAACGTTTTGTCCATTAGTGATACCATACATGAGATGACAGGGGTTTTTCTTATGCACTGAAATATTTATAAGTTAGATATCTGCCCTGTGAAAAATTTACTCCTGCAAAGTGTGTTCCACTAGTCCTCAGAAACCTGTTTCAAAGAAGAATTCAAGTTTAAGGATGATCGTTTTTGAATAGTCACAACATTCCCACAGAATTCCCAAAACTGCTTAGGCAGGTGAACAGAGGGCAGAGTGTACCATTTTAACTCAAACCTTTAAAGCCTCTTGTCAAAGCTATCAATATCTCGGCATCTGAGCATGCTGTGGGTGATGATGTCACACCAAGTAGACAGTTGCCATCACTTAGAAGCACTCCTCCAAGTACATCAAATCAGGCTATTGAAGATGCACTGCTAATAAAACTATCCACACATCATAAGGAAGGAGCACTGAAAGTCTACTGGTCTTCAGTGAAAATACCAAAGTTGATGAATTTTGCAGTCATGAGAGATCATTTGGTCCATGTGTTTGCTAGCCTAACACTTCTCTCTCTGGCTGAGGGCATCCACCCTGAACAGTACTATCTGTGCTGCTGTGAGCTGCCAGCCCTGGGGAGCACCTTGTCCCTCTGGCAGCAGCTTCTAAGGCAGGTCTGAATGAAGAGCAGTTGTACAGTGCCTGACAAGAAACTGTGAGAGTGCATCAGCATCTGCTGGTTAAGCCTGCTGCAGTCAGCAGTTGTATGGGGATGGTATGTATTAACTGGGCTTGTTCTAACTGAAGCACAGGATCTCTCCCAGGCTTTGTAGAAAATCCTTCTGATGAAAAATGAAGGCCTTTTATGACTCCAGCTTACCAAATAGCCATCTCATTCAAAGCATCAGCACAGCTCTCCTATAAAGTCCTGCATTATTTTCCATGCTTAAAGAGCAGATGTTGACTGGCAGCAGCTGAGACATGCTAAAAGCTGTCCAAGAAGCATGAAAAGTGGCATCAGACTGTGTGAGCCTTCAGTAATCCACTAATCTTTTTGAACACATTCTTTTGTTTGAGCAGACTTTAGTTATTAGTTTTGACACATTTCACATATTACAAAACTGATCATTATTGTGTAGCTGGCTAATCCTCAGTTTGAGGAAGGATTGATTTTTAAACTAATATAAAAAGGCTGTCAACTTAAGCAAGGAGGCTCTATGTTTCTAAGCATATGATATATTTTGCTTTAACAGCATTATCAGAGTTGATGCAGATGATAGGTAGATTTACATAAAAAGGAAAATGTACATACTGTGAGCACAAAACTGCTTCATAGCCAATGATTAAAGTAGAAATTGGTTTGTTTCTCTGTGAAACATTCACTTGTGGTCACAGTTAGAAGACAGGTCTGTTTCAGCAGGCATTTCTGTAAAGACAAAGATAGAATCATACAATCATTTAGGTTGGAAAATACCCTAAAAATCATCAAATCCAACCTTTAACCAAGCACTGCCAAGTTCACCATTAAGCCATGTTCCCAAGTACCATGTCTACATAACCTAATAAAGTCAGGAATCAAACTGCAGAAGTATCAATTAACATCTATTTTGATGCATTTATGCCTTAACAATAAAATGAAAAAGGTTAAAATCAGAAATAAGGATGCATTTTTAATGTTGGTATTCACAGAACAGCCTATTTTTGCACAACTATGTGGTATTTTCCATAAAGTATTTTTCACTAAGCTAAATATACAATGCCCACTAGGTCTTGCAGAATTAATCAAACTTTTTTACAGGTTTCCAGAGTATTAAGAAGCAGGTTATTGTGAAGTCACTGAAAATTAGCTATTAACATTGGCTTTTTTGGTGAGCATCTCTTAACAGTTCCTTTAACTATACTTTTTGAGTTCTCAAAATATAGCTTCACTATTTCTTTCTGATGTCTGAGTTTTAATCACTGTTCCAGTCACTGAAAGTCTTTCAATTTCCATTAACAAAATTGAACTCATTATCAGGGCAGAAAGATGCTTCAGGCCAGACTGCACAGTAAGATCCCATTCCTTTTCTGATCCTCTCTTTTCACCTATGAATGAATGCTGAAAATCCAGGAGGCAACTGTTTCCTGCCTGAAGAGGGGTCTGGGAGAGATTTTGAATTCATCTTCTAGGTTTCTTCATCTGAAGATCAGGCCTTTTAAATCTGCTTATTAAATATGAATTTATATATTTAATTCTATTTAATTCTAAGTTGCCCACATTAATTCTTGCTAAATGGATGCACAGTGGTCACTGATAAATTCAAATGATGGTAGTTTAAAAAATGTTACATTTTGTGACAAGCTTCTAGTGGCTGTGGCTGCAGGCCTTATACAAAACTGAAATAAGTCTAAATAAATTATAATCCAGGTAAAGAACTTGAATAACATGTTTAATCCTTCACTAATGTTACCATTTTATAACCAGATTTGCTTTGCTCTTCCACACTATGTATTAAAATAGGCACCTTCTAAGCTTTTGAAAGAATATGATCATTAATGCAGTCCAACTCCTAAGATATATGATGACACTTTTTCACAGTAAGCCAGGCCAAGATAAGAACTACAGCAAACCCTGAGGCTTGCTGTACTGTCCGGATGTTGAGATTTTAGTAGAAGATGGGATGCTTTATCCTTAAAACAATTTTCCAGCTAAAATGCAACTTTCATGATGATAACAAAAACCTGTGTGGTTCATCAGCACAAAGTTTATGCCACACTTAGACAATATTTTAAAACTTAGGGAAGGACTTTATTTATATACAGATGTGGGATTCTGATGTGCATTATAGTAAATTCACCCAGTTGGATTTTAATTTGCATACATTATCCTATTATCATGCCTCTCCCAAAGCTTTACTACTTTTAGTGCAATACTGCCTGAATGTAGCTAGACTGTTTTCAAAAATTAGTTGATTCAAAGCCAGTGGAAAAATTATTGATTTTTGGAGCTTTGTTGGGTGTTCCCAAGCATATTTTTCCATATTGGCACTTGTATGATTTTTATTACAGTCTATGCTCACTGTTACTATATTTAGCCTTTTACTCCAGGAGATTCTCATAAGTGTATTATATATTACTCAGAATCATTAATCAGTAGCTTGTCCTGCATCACTACACACTAGAACTTGTACATGGAAAAACACGAATCATTTTGTTCACTCCAGATAGGAGATGGCTTGTAAGGGTGAAAAATGAGCAAGGAGCAGAAATTAAAGCTTTGGCTAGTGTTTTTCCTTTTATTTAAGAAAAATTGGTCAGTGTCTTACACTGACTGCAGGGGAGAGGTGAGGGAATGTGAAAGTTGCTCAGTGATGAAAAGTAGGAATCTCTTCATCCAGATCCTGCTTGGGTGAGGATTGACTCCTTTTGTATCCCCTGCAAGGTGGGCTCCTGAACTGAACCCAGGGATACAGCCACAGTGTGAAGGATGCCAGGCCCTGGTCAGGCAGTGCAGCAGGAGCTGCTGTGCAGAGGCACCAATGCACTTTTGGTGCTTCAGGAAGGAGGGAAACAGTCTCTTAACAACACAGTCTCTGTCTGTGGCTCTGACACAGAGTGCCTGAAGACTTAGAATTGCTGATTCTAGCTGCAAGAGGGTGTTGTCCGTAAGAATGATTATTTGCTGTTTCATTGCAGTCTAGTAGTGTTATGCAGAGCACCCTACAGGCACAAATTACAGTCCTCACTCTGGTCATAAAAGATTGCAATCAAAATTTCAAAATACATTGGGCAGAAATCCAGCGTTAGATCCACCTTTCTTTAGAAAGAGTCTCTCTCTATCAAAGTGCCCTACGCCAATTGACTGTGAGCTAAGCTCTCCCCACCCTGAATAACAGCACTAATTAAGAGAAGTTTTTGGCTAATTGCATTTCATACTGCCGCTTAGGTTGACCTAATTTGTGCTTGGCAGTCTGTAAGGAAAGTTAGTCAGTGAAGAATAAGACACTGTGTTGCAGTAAACAACTCAATGCAGCCAGTATCTGGGCAGTCTAAAATAGACATTTGTAGCTCTTCAAATTTAAGAACAAAAAATGGTGTTTCTTTGTTGCTAATTTTATAAGCACTTTGTAGGGCAAAATCAAACAGCGCATTTGTTGCAGCACAAATATTGCCTGAGATGCGTGCAGAAAACTGGTGAATCATTTCCTGTTTGCTGCATCACTGCTTCACAGCTTTTCCCCAGCAAGGGAATGGTGTTGCCCAGACAATCTACGAAGCACATCTGGGCACTCAGTGTTGCAGTCCCCTCGTGGTTGCAGGGGGCTGTGCACAGCACACGTGGTGTGTGGTGATCGCCGTGCACAGTGTGCTGCGGCAGGTACGAGGACAGGACTAGAAAGGAGCTGGGCAGGGATCAGTGCCCACCCAACCTTGCCCTAACCTGTAACCTGGACAAGGGGAGGGGGTAGTCACTCCATGATGCAAATGGCTTGAGGAAGCCCACTCTCCCTTTGATGTTGCTGATAATAACTGGTTAGAGGGAAGAGGGAGCCATAAGTTCCTTTCTGGGCTTACCTGGCATGTGGATTCCCACTGCAGCCCAACACATGGAACTTCAGCAGCCCTTACACCCCCACAAAGGGCTGTCGAAGTTGAGTCAGGAATGTCACAACTGCAATTGCAAAGGACTAAGTCTGAAGGAAGGTCCTGACTGTGTCTGCACTAAGCTACATGAAGCAATAAAGGTGTCATGCTCAGAGTAGCTCACAGTAGTTCAGCTGGCTTTGCTGAAGTGCTGCTTGAAGATCACTGGCAAGTACACAGTCACAGGAACATTGGTTAAAAGAGGCCTGTGAAGGTCATCAGCCTCTTTCTGAAAGCAGGACTACCACCAGTGCTGGCTGATAGGTCAGCTGTGATTTTGGTCAAGTCCTCTAAGCATCCAGATTCCCCTGCCTTCCCAGTCTCTTCCAGTGCTGCACCATCCTCCTGATGGAAATGTTTTTGTAATGTCCAGTCTGAATCTCCAGTTTGTGGCCATAGCTGCATGTTATATCATCTGCCAGCTCAGAGAGATTCAGTTTTCTCATTTGCTTCTGACATGTCATAAATCTTCACCAAAGTCAATAAATACTCCATGTAGCCTGCTCCTGCCATTAGTATACATAGTCATTTCCTCACAGACTGCAGTCAGGCCTCTCAAGGATTTACCCTTGGTTCATCTTCCCATCTTTATGTTACTGGAAATGATCCCCAAGAATCAGGCTCCCTTATCTTTCCAGGGCTGAGGTGAGACTTACTTGCCTACAGTTCCTCTTCCCAGGTCTTTCTTTTTGCCTTGACTACAGACATATATAACTGCATATAACTGATATAACATTAGCCTTTTTCTAGTAAGAATAGCAGCTTCCACTCCCCCAGTTTCACTACTGTCTTCATTTCAGCAGTTGTTTAGTAACTTTTTCTAAAGCCTCTCACATGAATTGTGTTTTAGATGTGTTCTACAGACTACTGCCACTTCAAAATCATTCCTGACTGTTCAAGATGACCAGTTGACTCTTGAAGAACATACCAACCACGTCCTTTACTTCCTTCATTTTGAAGGAAGCTGCCTGGTTGGAACACAAGTTGAGACCATTGAAAGGAAGGACAGTTATGCAGACAGAAAATCAACATAGACTGATGATAAACACTGGCTATCTTATTTTCACTGAACAGAGGTTAAAATTTTCAGCCTGTAAGGTGTGTTTTAAAACTTGATTATTTGTTCCAGTTACTTTACTGTTTCCTGTATTTTTTCCTTCTTTTGGGAGGAATATAGACTTTTAATTGCTTTTGCAACTAGCTCGCCATAACATAATTTACACTTACCTTTTGGGTACTAGCAACAGAGTTTCATGAAAGAAGCATTTTCTAAATTACAGATATTAACTTTATGGCTATTATGTTTTACTCAAGTTAAATTCTCTCTCCCAAAATATAGTTTACTTAACATAATATAATAAATGTTTTGGGCATGCCCAGTGTATATATACATTATATAGTTGAGTATAAAAATCCAGGAAACACTCCTTATATGACTTTACCATGCCATTCATGTATCACACAATAATATGTGTGGTAAATAACTGAATATAGGAATTTGCATAACAGAAGGTGTTTTTTTGATAAAACAATGTTTCCTTAGTCTCTTAAGTCACAAAATGGTTCTTAAATTTTCTGCTTGCTGTACATCTGATGTAAAACTTAGTCAAATGGTTACTTCATTCCTGTACTCCTTCTGATACCTGAAATCTATACCTGAGGTGACAATATTAAAAAATAAAATTGCAGAAGTCAGCAAGGGCAATGAATTATATTTACCTATGTTGTTTTAGACTTCCCTCTGACAATTCAACCATTAAATCAGTTAATGGAATTAAATTAATTTTATGGGAAAGTCTGCCCTGTGCTTTGTATATTACCTTAGCTTTTAGTGTGTGCTATGCAAAAATTAACTACCAGCTTTTACTGTTCATCCTTCAGAGCTAGTTTAGTCAAATGTGTAGGGTTCTCCTCTCTGGGTTCCCAGCTGTCCTGCCCTACACACACTCTTTTTCCAAAACATGAGATCACTCCAGAAGGAAAACTGACTGTGCAACATAAAATGAGGAGAGCCAAATATTTCTACAGTGCTGTAGAAGCTGCACATGCAGTATGTGTTGCATGGACATGGGTGGATTAGGGATGTAGTACTTAGTGGAACGTAAATGCTCTGTTTTATGCCTGTTCAGCATCTCTACTGCCTATACACCTGACAGCCTGTGCTCTGATCTAATAGTTGCAGCTCACTAGAAATAAAAACAGCAATTGTATGAGAAAAAAGATGAAGCCAGAGAAACTGAACAGTGAATAGGAATTTCTGACAGTCAGTACTGGATGCGTGTGAAAGGGAAAGAGAGCATGAGCAAGTCACAGTCTCTCAGAGTCTGAATGTACTAGCCATTTTTCTGTCACCCTGAAAACTCAGCTTCTGAGCTTGCTGACATGGTTTTCTAGAGACTTACCCAGGACAGTAACTGTAAACATAGATATGTGTACATTCTTTCTGTTACACGTCCTGTGATGGACATCTCTCATGGCCAGTGCAGTGGGAAAGTGTTATCCTGACCATCCTTTCACCACACCTCGACCTGTGTCCGTGTGATCTATTCAGCACCAGTGGTAACATTTTTCAAAGAGGCATAGCTCATTGACTGCGCCCATGCATCAACCCTACTCTTCCTGTAGGAAGTCATTCTGTCAGCTGTAATAAAAGGAGAAGCTAAACATTTTTCTGTCCCTAATCACTGTGTTCAAATAGTTCTCATTAGGTTTCTACCCTGATGGCTTCTTGCAGGGTTGACCATTTTCCTTTTTCTTCTCCATAAAGGAATGATGTCCAGCTGTTAGCCTGCTCCCTTTCAAGATGTCAGGTGAGTGCACAGCATTCCCCATGCCAGAAATCTTCCTTCCCTGCATTATGTAGGGCTTATTCTCAAGTCACAGACAATTACTTTACCTGATACTTGTGAGCATACAGGCACACAAGAATTCTTTACCTCCAAAACTGTCTACTCAGCACCATCTTCTGCAGACTTTGCCCTCCTTTCAGCCTGTCTGGAAGGAATGAATGGGGTGAAAAGGAGACAACAAGCTCAGTCTCAAGCTGCTGCTTTCAGAGTTGAGCTGGGAAGCTTTCCAGAAGGATATATTGCACAGCCAGAGCCTTGGACTCCAGAAGGGCTGCTCTGAGAGCCCAGCACTAAGGAAGACAGGTGGCCAGAGAACAGGTACTTCAGAGGTTTGTCTTTCTTCAGCAGCAGTGGAAGAAGTAGAACCCCTGTGAAACCCACAAAGCACTAGCCAGGGTACAGCTAGCAGCTTATAGGACATGCCCCATCACCTGTATTAGGTGGTCACTCTCACTGCACTGACAGATCCATCACCCATGCCACTGCTCAGCTCCGGGCAACAGCAGAAAGGCAAATTTCAGAATTTACAACCCCCAAAACAGTGAATATCCATTATTTTCCTATCACCTAAAACAAAACCAGATGATTTGTGCTAATTGCAGCTTAGATAAAATGAATTTACAGGTAGTTCACATGCTGCCTTTTGTATAGCAGCATGTGAATTAGCTTGGCATCCAATGCTGACCTGACACATCCATAATGGTGGTATGAAGTCAGAGGATCTATTTGCAGAGTGGTATATTGCTTGAATTAAGGGCACAAGGGCAGAGACAAAGGCCATGCAAAATCATTTACCTATAAATCAGCTTATGGTTGGGAAGATAATTATTTACTGATATTGGGACACAATCAGTAAGAGAAGCAACAAGAACAAGTTACGACAAAACTGCTGTATTCCCAGGAAAGGTTAAGGTTTGTGTTGATACTCTGACATACAGGAATGAGAAAATTTGTTTTCAACAGCTTTTATTCCAGGTGATTAGATGGGGTGAGGCAGGTTTGTTACTAGCAAAGCATTTGTCTGTCTTTGTAAAAACAGTACACAACATCTATAAAATGTAACAGATCAAACACACCCTTTAGGATATACATCCTTCCTACTCCTGTAAGCCAGTAAAATCTACATTTTCATCTTAGACTAATCACATGAAACATGCTGGATCTCAGAGCCAGCATCTCACCACATGCAAACCAAACTCCTCTCGAGGCAGTGGAGTAGCACTCAGCTACAGCTGTGCTGTTTCAGATCAGATCTACAAACCTCTGTGCATGTGGAGGTCTGCCTATAGGAGCAATGTGAAGTTACCTGTTTACAGAAGTAGGCCTTCAAAACATGTAAAAAACATACTGTGCAGAAAGTTTGCCCTTGTCAGGAGTTGTGGGGTCTTTACATCAAGAGCACTTCCTCTATTAAGAGCAATGTATTGCACTTGAACATGGGTTTTTATTATCTAGAACTTGGATATCTATACTAATGTCTACAATTACTCTTTTATGTATGAGAATTACTTTTAAGCAGTTACAAATAGAAGAACCATGAAACACAGACTATGTTGTCTGTAAAACAGCTTTCCATCCCCCAAAAAATGCATTTTAGGCACCATAAGCATTATAAAACATGAAATTCTATTATATTATTGAAATTTAAATTGTTTTAGCACATTGACATGGTCTTCCAATCAAAGGTAACCAACAGACATGCAATTCAAAAGAACTGTCCTTTTTATATGTTAATAATTGTGGGGCTCCCAGAACATTATCACAATTTATTGGAGACCCCCCCCCCAGCTCTGCTCTCCTTGAGTTCAGATCCAGAAGAAGGCAGAAATCAGCCCCAAGTAAAACCATTTTTTTTCAGAGATTGGCCATGTGCCTTTCAGGAAAGACACAGACCATGGGACAGCACACTAGTGAAGAGTTCAGGCCTGCCTCCTGTATACTGGAGTTGCATCCACCAGCCCATAGTAATTCCTCAGAGAATGAGAAGCTTATGTGCTGTAAACCTCAAGGGTTTGCTGATCTAGGATGACAAAGCAACACTCTTTGACTAAGGATCTTGATGGCACTGAGCTTATTAGCTAAAAACTTTGAACAGAGAGAAGCATGTGTGACTCCACATGTGTGAATATACAGCCATTTTTAAAATAGTATCCTCCCACAACAAGCAAAGTAAACCAAGACTGAAATTCTCAGATTAAGTTATTATACTCTCTGATCTGTCTTTAATTTGTTTTCTGTTATAATTTATGTCTAACAGCTTAGGTAACCAGCACATGTAAGCTACACAATATTGTTATGGTTTGGTAAATACAGGCACCTTTATATTAGGAATATTATTCATGTACCTTTTTCAGAGGTTGGCCTTGATTTCTTTGCTGCCTCTAGTCTACTGCAGTGTCAAGACTGGCATTTCCTAAAGAGCTGCCATTACAAGAAAATGTAGCTGACTGCACAGGTTTGATCATGTACCTGAATTTCAGAAAGACCCACGATGGAAGGAAGACGTGATGGAAATTGGATTATTTTGCTTTTACTACTCTGATACATCTAGCAATCAGGCAATTTATCAATCCTCCTTGCCAAAACCTAACTATGTACTTAAAATTTGAAAGTATGCATTATGTAACAAGCCACTATGGTTTCTTGGGCCATGTATCATTTGCCTGGGAAACTATAAGGACTAGAACAATAATCATTCCAAGCAGTTGATGCAATCTGTGAGCTGTGCATGGGCACAAAACCTCAGCTCTCCAATTTGAACAGTGTGCAGGGAATCTCCTATTGCTCAAGCTCCCGCCCTGAGATGCAGAGTCCAGGCAGCAAGGGCCATCCAGGCTGTCTTCCCCGCTGAGAATTTGTCCCCACTGGGCAGTGATGAAACACAGTGCAGCCTGCCCCTCCTTGCAGATTTCAGAGACTTATACTCACAAGGGACACCAAATACAACCATCTAGTCATAAAGGGACATAATTCTGTTAGCTTTGCACAGAGAACTGAACTTTCCTCTAAACAGTAGCAACTAAAAGGCAGTAAAATAATGACTGATAGAAGTGTTGCCTTTTTACAGCCTCATGGCTGATAACAATCCTTAAAATAGCTCATGAGACATAAGCTTCAGTCAGTAAGGGAAAACATTTAATATGATCTTATAAAATAAATTATTTTGTTGGCTTACTGTCACGGGAAACAGTTTCACTAAATCAGAGGCAAATTTATATTTTGAATCTTATCATACAGTGGTTTGGATTGGAAGGGACCTTAAAGATCATCTAGTTCCAACACCCGTGACATGGGCAGGGACAACTTCCACTAGACCAGGGTGCTCAGAGCCCCCCATCAACCTGGCCTTGAATACTTCCCGGGATGGGACATCCACACCTTCTCTGGCCAACCCGTTTAAGTACCTCGCCACCCTTATAGTGAAGAATTTCTTCCTAATATCTAACCTAAACCTACTCTCTTTCAGTTTAAAGGCCTTCCCCCTTGTCCTATCACCGCATGCCCTTGTAAAAAGCCCCTCTCCAGCCTCCATGTAGGCCCCCTCTAGGCACTGGAAGGCTGCTATAAAGTGTCCCTGGAGCCTTCTCTTCTCCAGGCTGAACCAGCCCAACTCTCAGCCTTTCCTCTTAGGAGAACTGGCCTTTCTCATCATCTTTATGGCTTTCCTCCAGAGGTCCATTTTTTCTTATGCTGAGGTCCCCAGGCCTGAACACAGTACTTTGGGCAGGTTCTCATTAGAGTGGAGTAGAGGGGCACCACCTTCCTCAACCTGTTGGTCAGCTTCTTTAGATGCAGCCCAGAATACAGTTAGAAGGTACTCTGCATAAATACTATGACCTTTCTTTGTAGCAGACAAACATTTTAATGAGGACTATGATGACAAAGCAAGAAGACAGCTTGGCTTCTCACAGAAAGTCTTAGACACGCACAGGTCTTAACAGAAGGATGTTTGTGAGATGAAGGCATTTTGAATATTTCCATAACCCATACATGAGAGAGGGGGTACACAGGAATGTCATGCCAGGGCTGCTCAGGCCATGAGTCTCATTTCAGTGCTTCCTTTTGGGACCAGACCAATATGATATGCCTCCCCCTGCAGCACCCAAAAGCAGAAGCAGTTCCTGGGATAGGGCTTGGAGAGCTGGTAAAGGACAAAATGCACGTCATCTGTGCAAGCAACTTAATAAAAAAGCTAGAATATGGCCAGAGAAGTAGGGTAAATGAGTACCATTAGACCTGGTTAGAACATATGGTCCCTAATTACCACTTCCAGAATACTTTGATGTCCTTACAGAGAGATTACATGAAGTTCAAAATGACTTGTTAATAAGTAAGATTTTTGTAAGAATTTGAATAGTGAATGGGTTACAGAGACCGCTAAGTTACATAGGTAGCTTTGAAAACTTCCCCTCAAGATAATAAATGCATGTCCCACCACTTGCTAAAAAGCCTTTCTTCTGCAGAGGCACAGTATTATTTGCACGCATTTTGTAGCCATGTTTTTATTCTCTGACTAACTGAAAGTAGCCTCAGTGTATCACTGTGTATGTTGTGCAAGAGCACATTTGGAATTTGCATTTTTTAGATTACCAGACAATAAAAAACCCCTGAGATTGCACAGATATGCACCACCCTTCATTAGAGGTAGTGATATTCTCTCCCACCCAGTCCTGCCCAACCAAGACAATATTGCACATACGCCTCCAGACAATGAGCCTACCACACCTTTTGCCTCTAATTAAAATTATTAAGTTAAGATGGAAAGAAATCCATTTCAGTCTGTGCTTGTTAGCCAAATGTCTTGATAAAACTGAACATGTTCTGCTGCTGCCCACCATCTGTCCTTACAAATACTTTTTGAAAACACTGAGCAGGAAAACAGATTTGTCATTACTTCCACAATTTTATGCCATGCCCCCAGGTTTTTCTTTATGCAGACCAATAGAATCCACAGAATGGGATAAATTTTTCTCCTACTAAAACAATTTTGCACTTGACACATTTCAGTAGAAAAGATTCAAACCTAATACATGTAGAAAGCTATGCAGAGCAATAAGGATATCCTTATTGAGAACAGTATTTTGAGGCAATCTTGCTTCTCCTGTCTCAATTCATTCCTCACATATTCTCAGTTCCCTCAATTCTAGATAAGCTCTCATGGAAGCAGTGTGACTTCCTGTCTTTAACAAAGAGGCTACTTTTCATAGCTATGCAGCCTTTGAGACATCAAAACAACATACATCTTCTCAGCTTTCCCTTGTTGCTGAGAATTCAGACACCTGCAAGAAAACATGACTTTTCCATGACTGAGGTAAAAAAAACCTCCTAGACAACCATAGCATCCTCTCCTGCCATGATTCCCAGTATTTTGCCCCCATACGCTGAAAAAAATCCCAGATGCAACACAGCAGCCCAGCCACTGATCAGTATGGGCTGCCAAGAAGGTCGATCCTCTTTCTTATGCAGACTCCCTGCTGAATTTTAAGTGCAGTCACCATCCCCAGGCTTCCAGTGAGCTGCTTTAACTATTGTGCCATAGGTGCCTTAAAAGCTTCACCACAGGTACAATGTTATAGTCGAATGGTGTTTGTAAGACAAAGGAAAATGGACTTTGCCTGAGGCTGATGCAAATCTCTAGAGAAAAACAGGAATATCTCCTACTGCTGCAGGACCAACTGTGAGCTCTCTTCCCATCAATTATTGCAATTTGTTCTTATTTTTTCGAACTACTCTTCTTTCTTATTAGAGAAGCTCTTCCCAACAAACAAGTGGGAATTACTGTTAATTCACAATGGGTGTGAATAAACAGTACCAGATACAAAGGTTATCCCATCACAAGACGAGAACTCGCTCACACAGGTGATTAAATTCCTCGGGGTTTGAGTTCAGGCAATACAGAGGCCACTCTTTCTTTGGCAAATTTTGGTGAGATAAAGGCAGAGTGTAAAGATTTCTGGAATACCAGGGCTGTTTAAGAAAAAGCTGCTGATCTGATATTAAATCAGTGAGTGTTGGCTAATCCCACTGCATTCCAGATCACGTGAGGCCAGGGCTGCTTAGGAAGGAGCAGCAGTACCTCTTCCTCCTCAAACCAGTGCAGAGCTCTGCTTGCTGCTAGAAGGGACAAGAAGAAGAATATTACAGAAAAGTCTCTAATACTAAATGCAAGAAGTGTGATTTTTTTTTTTTTTTTGAAGTAGAAAAATACAAGGAGGTCACAAGGAATGGCAGCAGCAAGATTTAAAATTATAACAGATATATCTAAAAGGCTTCTAGACAAAACATGCACAGAAATGCATTGAGTTAAACTCCATTCTTCTATGAGTTAAACTCCATTTGCAAATTCTCTCTAGAAATTCCTTAGAAGCAGGCTTTCCTCTGCAATTTCTGGTCCCATCCATTTCAGGTTAGACTGGAAATATTGAGAAAGAGGCTCCTGACTCACTAACAGCCCAGTCTTTCTCAGGCTATTGACTCCCTCATATTCAAATCCACAAATTTCTCAGGAAGTACAGATACATGAGTCTGAGGATGTTATCTTGTAAGGCAGAACATTAGACTGACTTCAAAAGTCAAAAACAAAATTTTGCATCATTGCCAAAGCTGTGTCTGTGACAGCCAAGGTGAGAACAATGAGAAAAAGTGAGGATGAAAACGGGCACTCTGTTGTGAATGAAATTTGTTTCTAATTCCTCTCCTTGTGTTGAGGTTCTCGAGGCTTTTTGCCCCTCCCCTCTTTGTTTTCAGTTATATTTAAATGACATAATGACTATTTTGAGCTATCCAAAGCTTTCTGGAGTCAATGGGAAGGAATTATACTGACCTAATCTATTGGGTTAATATGACATTTTTGGAAATGTAACTGCATGTGATATTCCAAATACTACTTCCTACACTGCAGTAACTTCACACTATACCTAGTTATTGCAGCATATAGCTGTCTCAGATGATGTCAAAAGTTCACAGTTTACCCCCCCCCAAAATCTCAGTAAGCAGACAGAAAACTTTATGTCAAATTTCAGAAGTAGGGAGGGAAAACAAAAACAAAATCCAAAAACCTAATCCTTACCTTCTCAAATTACTCAAGTTCTGGAGTACACGATGAGAGAAAACTATGTTTGCTTGTTGTGAGAGGGAAGAAAATCATAACATGCCTGCAATTACTTTCTTACTGGAAAAAGAAGAAACTAAAAGAGAAAAACTATTATTGAGCAAAATTTTTCACAAGTTGAAAAAAGAAAATAAATACCATAAATACATCCTTTTGTGTCTTACAAAACAATTTGAAAACCATCTTTCATCCATTTCTAACTAGAGCTGTGGTTCTAGCTTTTACATGAGCAGTAATGAAACTGTTTCCTGAACTCCTGTATAATTTCTTTAAACTTTTCCTCCTTATTGCTTCTGAACACTCAGCATTTTACTTTTTTTTCAAATGAGTATCATTAAACACATATGACTCATTAGTAATGATGGCTCAGTTTGGGACAACATTGGTGGTTTCCTCTCCCAGCTTTCTGCCCTTGCTTTCTCTTGGTAGTTAGTTATTCCTCTTGCTTCAGGGGTAGCTCAGCAGCACATGAAGCTCCTTCACAATTCAAGTTTGGAGGAAACCAGGATCCATTTCAATTTCCTCTAGTACACCTACCTCTAATTTATGGCAGCTCAGCAACTGCTTCTGAGCAGACACAGCCTCTGCAGCAGAGGCAAAAGCTGCTGAGAGAAGAGCAGGGTAGATTTCCTGGCTGAATTCAAAGGAGCAGGTGAGGTACATTAGCAAATGCCATGTGTTGCATTAATGAAATTTGAGGAGTAATGCACTCAATGAAAACAAAACAGAGCTTGGCAGCAATCTAAATATTTGGAGGGTGGGGGAGGGAGGAAGAGAAAGTTCGACAGGGCCATTAAGAGTTGTTAGATGATCATTCAGATCTGGAAAAAAATACTTAAAGAGGAGTCCTCAGGGAGATACAAAATTAACCCTTGATAATATATTTATAATTTCCCATTATTTTTAAGAAAGTCCAGGTAAAACAAAAGATATTACTGCTTTAACAGGTATCCCAGCCCTTTGGATTAAGATCTACTGGTTTTGAAATGGCAGGGGTCAGTACACAAAGAAAGCATCTGGGGATGTTTACCACAACTTTCAAAACATGTTACTTGAAATTGATTTTCTCAAAGATCATGTCTCAAAAATCCTCCTTGTTATATGTTATATGCAAAGTATAAAACAAAGCCATGGTTCTCTGGCTTTATGACTTAAAAAAATGAAGCGAAAGAAGTAAGATTGCTCAGCTGGTCTTCTGGACTTAAAAAATTAAATCCTGTCTTTACATGTAGGCTGAAAACTATTATACAAATGAAGAAGGAAACATTCCTTGGAGATGTGGCTGATTATTTTCCTAAACTGATATATCATCAGCAGGCTAGAAGTTACCCTTAGAAAGAATGTGGCCTCACAACACTTAACTTTGTATATCCAATCCCTTTTTAAGAGTCTTTGTTTTCTTAAATTGGTATTTGAATTGTATTTGGCATTTATTTACTGAGAAAACAACTGTGTATTGGTACAGGAAGCTGCACAGGTGACAGTTTAATTTAGAGAAGAGTAGCAGAATAACTTCTGCAAATACCACATTAAGAATTGATTCTCTAAAAAAAAGCAGGCACATTTTTGTTCTTACTGCCAAAAAGGTATTTGCCTGTCCTATATTTCATTCTGGTTTTCCTGAGGTAGGTTTCCTAGGAAGTTCTTGAGGTCAGCAAATGAAATGTGCGTAGCCAGCCTTATGGAGTTACTAAGAATATTTGGCAGTAGGCTTTAGGCTTCTGGTTCACCAGCACAAGTTTAGGTAGTCAGAGACAAGGAGGGGTGACAGTAGGTGACACAGATTTTGTGCTGGAGTAGCAGTGTCTCCAGGGAACCACATAGGCTCAAGCAACAGCTCTAAGCACCTCTGTGCTTAAGGCTAATTTGCCATTACAAACATTCAGTCAGGTAAGAGCATTCGTAATTTTGTGTTATATTAATATGGGGTTGGGTTTCTTTAAGGAATTATAAAATTCTGGCTCAAGAAGAAAAAGGCAGTATTATAGACTGAATCTTTTAGTGCTGAATCATCTCAGACAGAGAGTCTGAAGAAAAGATTGCTGTTGACTGCTTGTATATATTGTAAGTTATACCAGGTCTTGTAAGTATAAAGCAGCCACTGGATACTACAAGAAGGGAGCCAGTGCTGTATATCCTATTATCTGGTAAGTCCTGCAGAAAACTTAAAGCAAACACTAGCAAATTAGCCCATGTAAAAGACAGGAAGAAAGAAACAGACCAGAAATGAAGCACTACAGTGTAGAGGCACTACATGTTATTGATGGATTTGCTGTCATGAGGATTGCATTGTCTTGCATTCACCACCAGTTTCTAACTCCCAGCCATGTGTATGTATAAAGCATGAGGGTTTTGGTCTGGTAATTCTTATATTCCTCATAATCTCTGCTCCTTTGTGATTTTCACTTTGGTTTTGATATCATACAAAATACATCTTGTTCTGAAAAGTGTAAGAAACTGGCAATAAAAATCATTTGTGAGTGAGCATTGGCAGACTCACCTGGCAGAGAAACTGGCTTTTAACCTTGCATAGGGAGGGAGGATCTGGTTGAGTACTCTGCAGTAGGTGAAGCTCTGCTGAGCCATGGGACAGCTGGAAAACTCCCTGGCAGCTGAGATGTGAGATATGCCAGCTTCTGTCTGGATTTCCACAGTGTGTGTCTGGTAGGACAAGGTCCACAGTCATGTTAGGCTCCCATTCTCAAATTTTTCCTCTCATGAGCAGCTCTGCTATCTTTGGATGAATTATTTGCTGCTACTTCCACCAAGCCCTAGTTCCTCATTTAACAAAGGCACGTTCCCTGAAATTTTCTTCTGCTTTCCAGCTTATTAAAAGGGATAAAGCTTAGAAGATAAGAAGAAAAAGCCCATACAGTCAACTTTCCACTATTCTTGTCATGGAGATGTGTAATCATGAATTACTTTAAATGGGAAGTTTAATGGAAAAGGACTAAAGTATTTTAATGGAAAGGGATGGTTAGCTCAAACATAACAGTGTGTAAATGCATAAGCTGAAAGGTTTAAGAGAGGTCAAACCCACTGCAGATCTCTCTAGCCCAGAAGCAGGAGGCTGAGTAATACTTACATTGGCTGGACCCAGGTGGTGCAGTCAGGCCTCAATAGCTGCTCTTGTATAACACCACTTCTGTGGCAACAAAGAGCATACATGAGTTTACTGGGATTTGCTAGCTCAGGCTCAGTCAAGGTCTTTCTGAACCAGTTGCAGCCCAACACCTGCCTGCTAAGGCACTTTTGAAACCACATTTTATTTCATTTCATTTCATTTCATTTACTAAATGACCAGGTAACCCATTCAGAGGCACTGGAGCTGACTGCTCACATGTACATCATATTTGATGAAGAATCTCTGCATGGATCACAGACAGATAATGTCCAGCACATCTTTTGTATCTTTATTTTATAGGAGAAACTCCTTTCCTGCATTGCAGCCTGTGTGTTCCTTCTGTGATCTTTATAGGAGGAACTACACACACAGCTGGTGTACAACTGCTACCTAAAAAGGACCTATATCTCAGTGTAAACAAAGCACAGAATAAATGGTTTAGCTGTATAAAGTGACAACATAATAAACAGATTCTCTTTTCCTGTACATTCATTCCAGAGTATCTGCTTATATTTGAAAACATTTATGGTGTTGAAAATGATTTTTAATTGTTCCACAGCATCTGCTTCTTTCAACAGAAAGCAATAGCTGGCCACACTCCATATGATTCTTTACTCAGGCAGTGTTGCAAATTTAAACAGGAATTGGGGAAACTGCAAGGAAACACAGAGCATAATGAAAATTCAATAGCATATGATATAATTAGGCCACAGCAGTGCAAAATCCAACACAGACTTAGAGGGCTGCTCCCCCAGACCAACAGCAAGATGCTGTGCTAGCTAGCAAACCACAGTGCGCAGGGAAGACAAGGCACCTCTGAATGGCAATGCTGAGCAGAGTTATGTCAGTGCAAAACCCTGGCAAGGAGACACCTAATTCCTGCCATCAGCTACCTAAGGTATTGCCAGACTTCCCTCAGAGGTGCACAGTGAAAGGACAATGGCAATCATCACAAGCTGCAGCAGAAGAAATTCTGCCTAGATATGAGGACAAAAATGTTCACAGTGAGACTAATCCAACGCTGGAAGAGATTTCCCAATGGAATTGTGGAGTCTCAATTCTTGCAGATATTCAAAGCTCAGCTTCACGTGGCCCTGAGAAACTTGCTATACTTGTTAACAGTTTGAGGAAGAGTTTGGATTGGATGACACCCCGAAGTCTCTTTTGACCTACATTGTCCTGTGTTTCTGTGGACCCCTGTCCAGAGTCTGGGATGCTCATGGAGAAATGCAATTAGGAATATTTGTTTATTTGGAACCCATCACCAAGAAGTCTCTCCCAAAGAAAAGTCCAAAGAAAGTAACCATCTCCTCAAAAAGGAAAAAGCAAGAATAACAGTTTATTTTAAAACTCATGACAGTGGTGATGCCAGTACCCAAGTACTAGATGATATCCTGCTGCCTAAAGCACTTGCCCAAGAAATGGCTATCCTTAGTGACCTGAGTGGGCCCAAAAAAATACAGGGAAGCCATTAATAAATAAGGATTCTGAAAAAAGGTTCAGGGACATGAAGGAGCCTAGGCCTATGGTGAAAGGTTAATGTCTCCTTCCAAGAAATAATATCTCCAATCTTCACATCTGGCTCTGGACTGTCTTTTGCATGGGCTGAGATGAAGGAATAGCCATGGAGATGGGGATATGCCGAGCTTTATTTCCTTCCCAGCTCTGCTGTAGCCCCTGGGCTGCAGTCACACTACCCCTGGTTGCTCCCTTCCTGGCCCTTTGACTCATGTATAATTTATTCTGCCAAGAACCAGCTTCAACAACAAGCTCTAAGTTTCCTCCCCTCCCACAGATGCTTATTAGGCTGCTCTCTTGGGAAATGTACACTTGAACTTCTCTAGACTGAGGAAGACTTAATATTGAGGTTTCCCTGGGCAGGCACCCTTAACCACCATGTGGCATTAACTAAAAAAACCTCACATGGTTGTGCCATTACCTCCTCTATCATAACTAGGGCCTGTTT